CACTAAACCGAACCTGAAAATGAGAGCCTGTTCATCACCTCCACTAAATGTTCGATAAATGATAGTATCGCATGTGTGCACACACACCTTCTTTCGGTTTCAACGTAAAGCGTCAATAATTAAAAAGTTTTGATTATATTAAAACATCTTTGACTTTTTTAACTTGGAGATTCGCCCGCAAAACTAGACACTATATTGATTAACAAACTAGTGTAATTAAATTACATTTGTTATGTAACTTGATAGTTCAATGAATTACTTGTGGAACCGTACAAGGGAAGAGAAGTGCGTAAATGATGTACGAAATGCAGTAGAGATCATTATTTAGGCGTTTAAGATTTCGTTATCAATAATCAGTTCTCCTTTTAATTTCCATACCCAAAAATGAAATAACCTGACTACCAATATTCTGTAAATGAACAATATTGGGCTTGTAGTTTAAACATTCAATAGTGTTGATTCACAGTCAGTCGTTTGTCAGTTCTGATTAGATTACATAAGTGCATTATTATTTCAGGATATAGATGTGCGTAGTCAGCATTTTACTTCCGTTTGCAGATAATTTCACAACGTAAAGCAAATCAGCTAAGTACAATACTGTGATAGGTTTTGTAACATTTCAATCGTATTGATTGCTTGGAATAACATGCTCGCAATGCTAATACCACCACGTACATATTATATTACAAATAATTAAAAACATTTGTGCTTTGAACAAACACTTTCAGTGTAATGTCCGTATCGTTGAAATGCTATGTCAGTATTAAATTCGCGTTATGAATTATAATATGATGCCAATTTGAATAGTCTGTCACGTGATGCAGACGTAACCAAGATCTTAGACAACAGGAAAGGCATGATAACCTCCATAGGGGCTGGCTAATCTAATCTAATCCTTTGAAATTCGATAAGGACTGTTAGGAGATATTTAAAGTGTCACTTTCAGAAATGGCTATGACAGCTCATACATACACTAACTTCTTTAATTAGCTCAGTGGTTAAAAAAACAAACAAACAAACAGGCAGACTTAACAGAGTTATAAATTTCTGTAATAATTGTCTTTGTCGTAAAACTGACAAATGAAGAAAATGTACTTTTTTCATTTCCAAGGGTATGATTCTCCTATTGTATATTATTATACATCTGTAACGCCATAAGTTACAGCGTGCCGTAATGTTGCGGTACTGCACTGGGTATTTTCATCCTACCATATTAGGAAACGCAAATTCCAAATATGGAACGATTACGTGCGTAAGCTTCCTCTAATAATAAAAACAAACATGGCTACCCCCAGGCTTTGTCCAGAACCCACACAATAAATAAAATAAAATGTGGATTTCGGCATTCCCATGATGGTGATGGTGTATTCCTTGGTGGTGTAGATGTATAATAATAAGGTTATTACGAGAATACTGCAACGTATGCACTCAGACAGTTCGCTTCGGTCGATACTCCGCTGTACTGTCCTTGTAGTATCCTTGTAATAACCTCATAGTAAAATAAATGTTCTGAACTAACGATGTTTCTTTAAAATAATATTAAGGTGGGTCAATTTTAAAGTACGTTATTATATTATATTCCACATGCAATAATAAAATACTGTCTGATAATAGACAAAAAGTTTCATGTACATACACGATTGTATGTATGAATGTTTCTGTAAACCAAAAAATCTGTTTCGCAAAAATTTAGCCAGGCACGGTTGCACAATGATACGTATAGCCTATGTAGCACAACACTCTGTGAATAAACTTGAACTAGTCCGTTGGGATATTTTTCCCATTTTGTATAAACTAATGAATTTTAAGAAATCAGGTAGTAAAATCATTCCGAATAATTCAATCATCCAACTAAAAGAAATTATACTATCCCAAACGTGTTAACGTGGAACGTATGGTCATGTAGATGCAGGCAAAGAAAATACAATCTAACAATGTAACGAGTGACTGCGTTACAATAATGAAAATGTGTACCATACGAGTATTAGATAAATTTCTTCGAAATTGCCTCTGGAATTAAAAATAGAAAACAGTTTACTTTTTTTTTAATTTTACGTGAGTGGCCTGTTGGATTATTTATACACGGTGATGCTTTAATCATTCCGAACTTCGAATGATAAGGCATTGCATCTATGCAGCAGCAGCAGCTGGAGGCATGGTGCGTTATTTGAGCAAATATTAATATTAATTGAAAAGATTTAAAAGAATATCGCTGAAGTAATATTATCTAGTTTATGATGTACAGCGAACAGTGTGAATAAAATATACGCAATGAGAATATTGAATAGTTGTTCCCAGGCGTGATCTTGATAAATGACATTTTAGTGGATGGTTGAGAACAAACCGTCTGGGTAAATTTGTTGTAAATATAGTATCCAACAAAATAGAATTGACAAGCATATATTCCAAATACCGAGGCACACATATGGAAACTAGTTAAGAAGTGTTTTCCAGACCGACCGCATTGCGGTAACGATGATATTGAATTCGACGACGCTGTATATAATATAAAATGTGTGCACAGTCGGAATCCTTCACCGATGACGCGTACGATAAAACGCCGGCATATGACTACCTATCAAAACTGAAATGCTGATCAAATAAATACCCAGACTACTTTTTGCACAAATACTTTGATATTATACAAACGTATAAAGAATTTAACTTGGCCTAATATTCGAACCATCCAATCAAATTGTGTCCCACAGCCCCAGGAAAAATCAAATATTAAAATAGTTTAGCAACAAAATACTTAATTAACCATATTTATTTTTCTAAAGTAAAAATACGCATGTATATGTTATTCGATGAACGGCATCTCAAATTACGCAACTCAGACTCAATATGACCTAAAACCAGGAATCGTTGCCACTAAGTTAAAAGTGACGAGTTATAAAGTAACACCGATATTGTGGACACGTGGGTATACTTCATCAACTGATTTCCTATTCATTACAATTTCTATACGAGTTGTATTTCTATACGTCTTATATTTGAGCCATATATGATATCGCCAAGAGATTTATTGTTATTGAATTGGAATAAATGAACAAACCAGTCACTAACATGTCTGTTTATAATGCTGGTATGTAATCAACAACTTGATATATGTCACTGATACATGGGTTATATATTACTCGCCAAATCTGACATATATTTAAACGAAAAATATTATTGCGTTCGTAAATTGCGTATCATAGAGATGTAAAAGAGTGTCGACAATGCGTAGATACACCAGTTACGCAACTCCATGTGTTTATATATTCAATATAGCAGTGAAAACATACCAATAATATATTATTGCAATTGAACGAGTTGAAGTAATAATTTGTGTAGTACCTTGTTAAATGTTCAAATATAGCTTAAATGGCAACAATTCCGCGTGTCTGTGCGGGTGTTATACAGCAACACAAATACAAAAAAACACAACGAAATACGTCTTATTAGTGTTTTCGCTGCAGCTCTGTGCCAATTATTGTAAATCGCTTGTTCTAGGGCTTATTTTGTTTTACTTCTGAAACGCCCAGAGGGGGTCGGTACAGTAAGGTTTTGTAATTTCCGATTGAAATATTTTTTTTCTCATCGTTATTGATCAGGAAATAAAGGACGAGTCCAATAATTATGTTATAACAGGACAATTATGGGGATTCGTGCTAGGATGAGCGAGACGCACACGCACCTGTTATCAAATACTGACAATTTGAATATATTTAAATGTATTTGTATGTATATGTATTGTTTAGTTCTTCTTCAGCACATAAACGTTGCACTACTGGTTCGTTCTACTAATTGCGTGATTTATTGATGAATATGTTTGTCACTTTGTAAGGCCTGCTTATCGCAATTGAGAACGGCCACCCATAGAACTCACACTGGACAGGAGGTCTTTCACTGCTGGTATGGGGTAGACAAGTCAATAGTACTGGAAATGAAATACACACACGCCAAAATATCGAGTTAAAGCTCCTGGCTACCTCTCAAAATAAAAAAAAATACAATGAATAAAGTCACTAAAATAGGGGATTGCGTAGGGAAGTTTGCATTGGTGATAACTCACAGTCCCAGGATGTATTATTGGACGACAGTCAGTGGCTTCTGCAACACAACAACGGAGAAATACAGGAGTCTTGCTTGCAGAGGAACGCCTGAGATCGCAGAGCTGTTCATACAATTCTCACAGAATGATAGTTGTAGCCTGTATCACTTGTCAAACAATGTCGTAGCAGAACACACAGGAAAGCAAGTTGAAATGACGGACACCAAGTTGGAATGATCGACCCCAAACTGTCCTGAGTCTGTCCAATTTATAGGCAGTGACACCACTTGGGTTTCCACATAAGCCAATCAGGATGTAATCTTGCTAGCAGCTGTGTCACGTAGGCAACTCAGTAGATCATAAACATCCTTTGTTATTCAAATAACAACACACCTGGTAGATTCCAATTCTCCACACTTCCATTTGCAGGTTTTGAGGTAACATGACAAAAACATGAAATGAACGATGCTGACAAGTCCAACAAATTAGAATTATTTCTCCTTGCGGCCTGTGGTTCTCTAATACATAATCAGTTATCTACGCTGTGATTATAATATCGCCTTTATATGTGACGTGCAAGTCAATTGGAGTAGAGAGTAGGACCTCTTGTACCTTCATAAATGAAAACATAATTGTACATTGCGAGATTGTTGTAATTTCGTTGATTGGTCAATTGAACAATTGTTGAAGGTTGACCTCTATACGAACAAATCAGTGTTTTGTAGCAGCCCTGTAAATTTCGATGTGCGTAGCCGACTACTGCACATGCGCAATACACCGTCCTTAGTGAGTTTCTATCTATTCTAGCCAAACGTTGCGGTAATTCGTTTGTATCACCGGGCCACTTACCCGTCACGTTCCTCTTGTTGGTTCGTATGCACTTAAAAGATATATTTCAACTGGGACATTTCATTACATTCTGATTTCATTGTTCATTTCAATTCACAGATCTGATCAGATAACGATGGACGAAGACTCGGAATCCTACGACTATTACGGGCTTTATGAAAGGGCAGCCAAGTGGAACACTCCGCCAACTATAACAATAACGTTCGGGGTGTTGTTCATAATATTAATAATTGCCGGAAACATTTGGGTTATCGTCGCCGTATTTCGCCAGCCGAAACTCAGAGGCTCAGCGACCAATGTGTTCATCGTCTCATTGTCCGTGTCGGACTTCATGGTAGCTATATTTTTCATCCCTTACCACGTGGCATATTTTGCATACGGGATTCCGATCTCCGACGATGCATTATGTAAGATATTAGGATACCTGCACTGGGCTGCGCAGTGTGGAACGACGTTTTCGCTTATCTGTATTGGAGTGGATCGCTATCGCGCTATCGTGCAGCCGATGAAACCTAAGCTAACGATTAAACATGCGCTGATCGGCTGCACTCTTGTTTGGGTGTGCGCCCTTGGGTACTCGTCGTTCAAACTGGCTGTGAACGGCGTATTGACGTGGAACGAGACGCTGGTCCTAGAGCATGGTAACGAAACAGTTGTTGAGTATGTAACTGTGTATCAATGTCATGTTATATACGATGAAATTGATTACTGGTTTAGATTGGCCGATTTGATCGTGATGTATGTCTTACCTCTTTTTATATTAACAGTTCTGTATTCGATAATGGTGTTTTCTTTGTGGTTCAGTAAGTCACCTTCAAATTCCGGCACCCGCAGGAAAAAGAGAGCCGTAAAAATGCTAAGTTTTGTAGTTTTACAATTTGCACTAACCTGGTTGCCGAATCATGTTTTGCAATTCTATTTTAGCTGGGCAGAAACATTCCCTAAAAGTGAGTTCCTCTTCTCCTCGGCACCGGCCAATTTAGCTATTTTCGTCTTTCTCTGCAATAGTTGGATAAACCCTATACTGTATGCTTATTTCAATGAAAATTTTCGCAAAGAGTTCAGGAAATTATTCCCGTGTTTCTACAAGTGTCGCAAGAATTCAATTGAACCTGAAGATACGGCGACTACCATGGACGATTCTGCTAACCTGCCAAGAACAGGGAACCGCGGCAAGGTGCAGGTATCCACAATAGGGAATCGATAATTCATATAGAAGATTCATAATGTGTCATCCGTGGTGTCAGATTAATAAACGAGTGTAGTAATTTTTAATATATATATTAATCAAAATTTCAAACAATTATCAGTTTTAGTATGGACACACATTACATGGTTTTGTGTCATACGTATACCAAATCGTTGCGATCAATTGAATTATACGTTTCCAGACTGCCCATTTTTGTATTTCTAGTTAACCCACGCGTTGTATGTCCCAGTAATGATCTACGAAGAGTATCAATCATGGATGTGACGTAACTCGAGGCAGTAACTTGATGTCTAGCTTTGATGACACAAACTCGAAACCGAATCGTGAATACAATGACGCTATTTAGAATCGATTTTGACGGAAATTGCTCAGAAAATTAATCATTAATTCATCATTTCGTCATGTTTTTTTAGGAAATGTATTAGTTTCATTATGAAACATATAAAGAGTGGTGAAAGTGGAACAATTGAAAGAACGTAAATATGGAAGAGTTTTAAAGAAAATCTACGATCTCAGATCAGATAAATATTCTTTTTAATACGGTTTTGAAAACCTCATTCCTATCATATACAACTATTTGTGTTCTGAACATTTCATTGTGGACTTGTGTGATGATGCTTAATTTCGTGAATCATGTTAAACATGAAAGTAAAAATTGTATTTTTCAGAGAAACTAACTGTTATTTGTTCAAATGAGGGATTTAATTTTTCGAGAAAAAAATCAACACTTGGGCAAAGAAGAAAAAAAATATGCATTACTCATAATGCATAATCATGGCTAATTGCTCAAAAATGTCATAATCTGAAAATAATCTCTTTCGAAGGATCGGCGATACCACTATTGTCACACAAAGAGTATTGAAGGTAATCACATTGTTGAACATGTGTAAGCATGCATGTTCTGATTGAGAATCGGCAATTCCAATGAGACGATCGAGGAAAAAGAAAACTATTGCGTCCATGATTGGACAATCTAATTACAGTATTCCCCTCATGGTTATTGGCGTCATTCAATACTATTGACTTCCAAAATTGCCTGAGAATAAGTCAATTCATTGGCTCCACGCACTGAAAGAAGTAGGCCAGTTCAATGCAGCGACAATCGCACGATGTTTCTTGTCTACTTATGTCACTCAATTCTTACTCCATCACGAAGGAATCAACACAGAATAATATAAATAAACGTGTAATTAGTCAATAATATTTCCCAACTATCATGTGTACGATTTCAGATCAAGTTTGTCGTATGACCTTTTTTTTCAAATGTAGCGATAACGATACCATCAATGTATATGACATGTAATATCACAACACACCAATAAATTCTATTTGATTTACAGTTGCAAAGTTAGTTATCTCCTGGAATGGTCTTGTGGATTACTTTCGTTTATGGAAAAACAAGCCGCTGACGTGAATAGATTGTTCATTACCTGTTGTTGACACGCATCTTTAACCTGTATCCTACGGCTAATAAACTTATTCACGACGCTTCGCTGTACATGAATTTCAAACTGTAGTTTATTGCAGGTACAATCACGATGTATGTGACGTATCCTTTGCAAACCGACATTCGACTGTAAAAGTCATAGACCGGCGATTGCTTATTTTTGGTTAAAAAGTTATAATTCGATTGATCAACTCAATGTACGCGCGTAGGCCATAATAACACACACTTGATGTGATACGTGGCTAAAATATACGTAATACTTTTCAAACCCATGCATATTGTTCACTAGCTACACTAGTTCGCTGTAAATGATGATTTCCCATACCTGAACTTCTTTATAATGCCGATTAAATAATATATGGGATCAAGAAGAAAGGTGCGATCTTCTTTAAATAGACCTACCACCAACACAGAATGAATGACGTCGACATGATCAGGGTTGTTCAATTTCATCCACGCGTAAACCGAGTTGATTATGCGATGCAGTCGCATATGATCCACTTGAAAGTTGACCGACACTATAATTGTGTTTTTTTGTGATCCTTTGCCTAGCAATCAATCTCATGAGTAGGTTTGGAGAAAAAACCATTAATTGCTTGTCACACACGCAAACAGCTGGTAGTGGAAAACAGAATGATTAATCATTTCACTCCAAGACTTGGGTATATGTTAAAAGGCGTTGAGAATAAACACAAAACCGGAAGGCGTTATTGAAAGGCGTTATTCAAGTTAGTAACGACCTTTATGTTTTTCGTTGTCTATAACTAAAATCACTGAGATATACTCATTGCCGGTTAGATTGCGTGCACTGCGCATGATACATGGGGAAATTAACTCATCACGATTCAATTGACACGAACCTATATTTGCGTGACGATGTTACTGCATTTTAAATTGGTTCTATTTAATTTTGTTACCGGTAGAAGGTTCTCTAAACAACTAATTCTACACTTGATTGCACAAAAACATCACATCATTTTCACCAAACACAGATATCATATTTCACACCACAACAACTATAGCATTTATTCGCTTATTGACGTGGAGGGAAATACACTCCATTGATTTACATACGAGTTCTGTTTTATATAATTATAGCTGGCCTTGGCATATTTTTTTTATTTTATTTTAATGTTACTTTTTACATTAATTCTGTCAAATTATGATTTGTAGAGATATCCCAAATGTATTCGATTGTCACGAGATGTTAACATCTGCTTTGGGTATAATTCGACAATGTATCAAAATATACGAAATGCAATACACACGGTCCTCAATATTAACCTCGGTGACCCCTTTACATTGCAACTCAACGGGACCGCTGAGACCTGACTCAGCGCCGCCAACTACTTTACAACACCCGCGTGCCTTGACCTTAGAAATTCGCTTCAAAATGGCTATTTCCGTGTGACCTATGAATGAATAATGCCAACATAATTGACTCAATCGTCTGATAATAGAAACATCGTTCATGTTGATTCAGTTGATGATTATTCTTGCATGTTTGGTTACTTATGTAGATTTCAGTGTTGATTTCATCTAAAAGTCACGTCCTACTTACGATGTCATTCTCTATGTTACATAATAAAAAAATGGCACATTTACGTACAACTACAGTGAAGCAAAATATTTTTTTTCTTAAGTACACAACATTCGTAGTCAAGATCATCTAACCGATTTCCGTGTTGTCCCACTGTTGAAAGACATCACTGATTTGTTTTCAACAAGCACACGAAGTGACTTTAAACTCTAAGTCATCCAAGATAAATCTCAGAAAAATACAGTTGTAACGTAGCTGTACAAGTTAAGCATATTGTACGTTGTTGTTGTAAACGTAATTAGTAATTAATTGTGAAACAGAACATTACTATTGAAACCTGATACACCAAATGACTGAATGTATATAGCGAATTGCTGATAATTACAGACGCACACAAAATCACGCAACATCAACAATAATGAATTAAGTTTATCAACTGTTATACAATTGGTTATTAACTGGCCATATTGTTTCCAAAGCGGGGAATGTTTTGAATTGAAATGAAGTTTATTATTTAAACAACTGTACCGAATAAAATGTTTAAATAACCTGACCACCTCTGAAGATATACGTAATATAAACTTCTAGGAACAAGCATGGGTACGCATTCATTACCAGCTTTCATTAAAGTTATATTAGTATGTATGTCGGCATCGTTATACAGTCATGAGAACACACGCGAACAATGCGTACTACATGGTATAACATAGACGGATATTTTATGCCGATCCACAGACTACAGACAAAGTTTAATGAAGTCTCTCTCGCAATATCGAGAGGTTGTAATAACATTATATGAGTAATGTCTTCGACTGCTGGTTCACTCATGCGTTATTGTTTTATAACATACCATACGTAACAGGTGAATGCGGGTCAAAATGAACACATGTGGCATTAAGAATCGTATTATGTCATTTATTTACGCTGCGATGGAGATAAATAACAACTAGCTACAAATGCGACAGCTCAGTATGTCGGTAACAATAGCGTCCATCTGAAATACGTACAAACCCTTTGATATGTAAATGAATGGCGTGTAAAGAGATGCAAATAATAATTTATTATATATTTAGAGGTTATTCGCGGTTGATAACGTGTGGTATTTTTAATTTTATTCATGCGCGTAGCGCTGGACAAAATATCAATATTGCTTCGAGCAATACTATATGTCATCTCCGATGTTAGCCGCCAATGACCTCCTTTTCATATCTGCAAGCGCATTGCACACAAACAGCGAGTTAAACATGTGAAAATTAGCCACCGACACCTATGAAAGCTGCGGAGAGCATCTCGCGCGTACCTTAGACCGGGTACTCGCTATTCTTGTGAAATATTTGGCTTGTGGATTCCAAGCTGTGCTTTGCCGAATTGGTAATTTAAAAACATATCTAAAACTAGCTAGAGCTGAATATGTTATGCTTGCCTTCAAAGTAAATTTGAATTCGTAATGTCAAATTTGCAAACGATTTTCCATTTGCAAATAATTGAGTATGAGAGCTATAATGTAACATTTTAAAGTGAACAAGCATTCAAAAGTTTGGTTCTGTATCGGAAATTAGTAAAATACCGCAAATATCAATAATAATTACGTTACTTTATAATACAAAGTGACAAACATGAAGTGAAAATATTGAGACACCGCGAATGTCATAGATTCTTTCATGCTAATATAATACCCTTGACAATTTCACACAAAAATCTAGTTCCAAATATGTTAGACTGGAAATTCAACTGGTACAGTAAATGTGGGTACTTATATAGCGCAGATTATTGAGCACTATGACTGGTGCATAGTTTTAATTGGAATTATCATATCTCGCATATAAAACGCTCTACTTGAAGTTTCACTTTTTCTAAAACGAGTAGAAAAATTGATTCCACTTTAAATGGCATGTGTGTAACATATTGAACTGGAATGTTACAACATTGGAATAACCATTGATTGTTTTGAACAACCATTGATTGTTTAAAATAACCAATGATTGTTTTGAACAACCATTGATTGTTTAA